GCCTGCCCTCTGCCACCCGGGAGCAGGCCTAAGCCAGCAGGTCGTTATCTCCCGAGGGGTCCCAGACTGCGAGAGGGCACAGGCCGGGCTGGGGGACCCCCCTCCCCCCGCCCCCCGAGTGCACTAATTTTTGTGCACCGGGCCTCTAGTCATAAATAAAAATTTATCAAGCTGGGCCCTCCATATTTGTACACTTTATGGTATATAAAATCAAAGTCCATAATAAATATTTTCATACATAACTAGCTGTTTATATAATAAAGAAACCACATATACATTTTCAATAAGAATACAATGAACTACCTAGAAAGGAGTACAAGAAATGTGTATATTCTATATGAGAAAATAACTTTAAAAAAAGTACTGAAGCACACACAAGAAGACTTGAAAAAATTAAAATTAAAAATAAAATATAAAACACACCCTGTTCTTGGATAGGGAGGTAAATCTTAAAAAGCTGACAATTCTCCCTATATTAATGTACACATTTGATGAGATTCCAGTAAGATACCCAACTTTTGTGTTAAATAGAGAAGCTGATTCAGGTGGAAAATTAAATAAGGACATAATTGAAAAACTCAGAAAAATATATGCAGTAAGTGGAAACTAGTTCTTTAAGATAGTAAAACACACTATAAAGTCTAGATTATTGAAAATGTAGTCCTGGTACATAAATACACAGAGAGACCAAAGAAACAGACTAAAAATTCCAGAAATGCCCACCAAAACATGTGTGAATATAGTGTATGCTGCAGGGGGCGATATAGGTGTCCTTTCAAATTAGTGTGCCAAAGATAAACTGCTCAGTAAAAGCTTCTGGGACAACTGGATAGATTTATATCTATACTTCACCTCTGTGTGGGATTGCATTATTTTTTCTTCATTATTTACTGTCTTTCCTGTAAGAGAGCTATATATTTCTTTACACTGCTATGTTTGCTTCCTTGTGGAAAGAGTCACCCTGCCCCCATCCCACAATTGAAGTCAGGTTTGGTCCCATGACTTGCTTTAGCCAATCCTATATAATAAAAGGGTAATATGCAAATTGACCCTAACAGCAGAGCGACTGGGAATCACTGGTCACTATGACACACACTGACCACCAGGGGGCAGATGCTCAATGCAGGAGCTGCCCCCTGGTGGTCAGTGTGTTCCCACAGGGGGAGCTCTGCTCAGCCACAAGCCTGGCTGCCAGCTGCCAGTACAGCGATGGTGGTGGGAATCTCTCCCGCCTCCTCAGCAGTGCTAAGGATGTCCAACTGCAGCTAGGCCTGCTCCCCGCTGGCAAGTGGACATCCCCTGAGGGCTCCCGGGCTGCCAGAGGGATGTCTGACTTCCAGCTTAGGCCCAATCCCCCAGGGAGTGGGCCTAAGCCAGCAGGTGGTCATCCCCCGAGGGGTCCCAGACTGCAAGAGGGCACAGGCCAGGCTGAGGGACCCTCCGAGTGCACAAATTTTTGTGCACCAGGCCTCTAGTAGAATTATAAATGGACATGACATACACCTTATCTGAGCTGAAGGTTTAGGAGCCATTGCTTGATTCAGCTATTCTCTTTCTCTCCTTTCATTAGAATAGTTTATTATCAATGATACTTCAAGGTACAGTCTGTTATTATCCCCATTTCTTTGTGAAAAAGCTGAAGGAGAAAGTCTAAGTAATTGCCCTAGTCATTCAGCTGGTGAGGCAAGGATGGAGTCAGGATTTGAATCTAGACAGTCTGGCTCCAGTGTCTAGACTTCAACCTCTGCACAGTGCTGCCTATCTCCAACACATTCTAACTTTAATTATTTTAGTCTCTTGTGAAGTCCAGTTTTGTTGTCTTAGCTTAGTGACAAAGACAAATATTCCTTGTTTCCTCTCAAGAAATATTTATCCCTTCCTAGTTACTCATCAATACTTTTCTCCCCAGCTTCCTAGCTCAGTGAGTGATTTTTTCCCCCCTAAGGTTTCTCAGAACATAAATTATTTTCAGTTATTGTCTAATTGATTTTATTTATTAAATTCACAGTTGTAATATAAGCAGTTATATTTCACATCTGTACTGTTCACATTATTTAAGACAATATAACTCATTATGTAAACATGTTTGATTTATAAATGATGGAACGAATAGCTTGATTAGAAATATATATTTATTCAACAAGCCTTTTTGATGTCTGTTTTACAGAGATAAACAACCCAATTCCTTCTAAATTCAAGTACAGGACAGGGAATCCAGCAAAAGATGTAGTCTAAATGTGGTCCTCAAACATTGTCTTGCTCTGCATCTATGGTGAGAAAAAAAACATAAAAGAGTTGTAGGGTTTCTTCAGGAATATTCCCTCAGTTGAATCTGAGCAGTGAGTGTGAGCTAAAGCTGGGGTTAGCAAACTTTCTCTGTGAAATGCTAGATGCTAAATATTTTGGGCTTTGCAGGCCATATGGTTTACGTCATAACTACTTAACTCATAATAGCAGCCATAGAAAATAGATGTGAGTGTGGATCTGTTCCAATAAAACTTCATTTATAAAAATGTGTTGGGTTAGATTAGGCAGGAGAATCATAATAGTTGGCCCTTGAAATGAAGGAAACCAATTAGCTGTGATGTGAAATGTTGTCTATTATTGCTGGCTATCCCACAAACAAACATAAATCAAACTTATTGACTTTTCTTATAATGGAATGAATATCTTAAATTGGAGAGCCCACCTACAGGGGAAGTACCCTTCTCCAGTTTTCTCTTTGTGTGAGAATGTGCCATATATATTGTCTCAGATCTAGGAAAAGACTTGTAAAGAATTTTAAATTTAGAAGAATATTTAGGGAGCAAAGTCAATGGAGTATGATGTTGATCATGGCATGTGATTTCTTACCTATGCTGCAGGGGGCAGTGTACTCAGCGATAGCGGACTCATCTAAGAAATATTAGGTGAAAGGAGAAACAAAAAACATCTATGAACAAGAGGCCATATTGAATCTATTTACTTTACTTTTGGTGAAAAGTATATCATATCAGGATTGTTAAAGCTCCATTCAAATAGGCCAGAGTTGAACAGGATAGCTAACATATTTATTACCCCCTTCCCTCCCCCCTCCCCCTACTATCAGGAGTGGAGGAGGGGGATTGAAGACTGTTTAGATAGTATTCAAATTTTAAATTCTTAGGAAGATGACCATTGTTGCTCTCTTTTTTTCTTGTAGCTCTTTCTTCCATGAACTCTCTGCTTATACTCACTTTATCCAGCTTGCTTCCTGAATCCCTTTTCTAAGATTATTGCTCTAGCCTAAAATGCTTTTGTTATTATTTTTTAGAGAAAGTGGAAGAGAGAGGGAAAGGCAGAGAGAAATATAGATGTGAGAGAAACACATCAACAATTGGTTGCCTCCTGAATGCGCCCTGAAGGGGAGGAGCCTGCAACCAAGGTATGTGCCCTTGGAGGGAACCAAACCTGGGACCCTTCAGTCCACAGGCCAATGCTCTACCCACTGAACCAACCGCCTAGGGCTCTACTATTTACTTTAGAAGATGTACTTATCCATTAGGATCCAACTCAGATCTTTCTTCCTCTGTCTTTTTTTCCTGTTTGTCCATATTAAGCACTAGTCTTCTGTGCTATTTTCACTTCCCCAATTTCTTATCCCTTAGCTTGGTACCCCTCATTTATCATTTATCATTTATCATTTATCATTTAACTGTCTTTTCTGGTTACATTATCTTTCCATGTGTACTATGTTCTTTATATCTCTAAACTATTTGAGAGCAGTCACCAAATATCTTTCTTTGTAAATTCTTAAGTTTCTGACTTAATAAATATTAATTGATAAATTTATTTGTAGGTGTTTTCTACAGTATATAGCTTGGAGGAAAGGGACAAATAGATATAATATTGATTGAATGGTCTAAAACCAGGGTCTATTGTCATCTATTTCTTGGTTTTGCATTGAGATTATTTAATTGTCTCAGTTTTCTCTCACTTACGTGTCTCATAGTAATCATAGACTTTAACAACCGCTGGCTTTAGGTCTCTTACTGGGATGTCTTGCAGAACCGTGAAAGAAAAGCTTAGTGTCTGAGCTGTCACCTAAAAGGAAAAGTGGGAGTAATAAAGAGGTTAGAAATCCTCTTCTCTCTTCTTTGAGTAAAACATATTCTTTATTGTTCTCTGACTCTTCTTCACCTGGATCTTCTAGGTAAGCAAACATTTGTGGATGCCAAGATGGGTTTAGAAGGCAACTTTGGGAACTCTTTACAATGAACAAAATCCCCAAGATATTCTCCTAAACAACAGAGACAACCCATATGCTCTTGTAGTCCTCTGTAAGAAATTAACCGAGTCTATGTGAATGTGTTTTAAGATGCAGAGACTTGTACCACCTGTAGTTATAATACAAACTATTTTTTGTGTGGTTAGATAAAACATTCCCTTTGATTTGCTATTGACTTTGAAGATACTCATGAGATCTACATTTTATTATATATAGTGATATATTTATTAGAATATTAACAGTATTATTAATCAACCACAATGGTGTATTTATTCTTTTTGGTGGGTCTTTAAAATAACACACATGTTAGACATTTATTCTGTTGATTTTCTACTGGAAATCATAGAAATATTCATATTCCAATTGTAACATAATTAAAAAGAGAGCAGACATTCTATGGATTTAAAAGGAGATTTTCCTTTTATTTTCTTTAGCATAGATTAACTTTCTGGAAGGATGTTACTAATTATTGCTTTCCTTATATTACTTATCTTCTATTGACAAGACCCACTTAGAAAGTCAACCGATGTATATAGTCTCAGCTCAAATGCCAGAGCTCTCACCTGTTCCACATAAATGATGACATGGTTATTGCTCACTTCTGTCCTGCTCACATGGTTAGATCTTTCAAGCTGAAGAAAATTAGAGAACTCAAAAAGTTAGACAATAGATATGAGAACACTGAGACCTAGAGCAGATTGTAGAAAGGGAAAATGTTTATTCTTTAAATAATGTGAGGGCTAGAATGCCTATGACTCATCTTCATGATTAAACAGTCAAGGTACATTAGCTATACAAAAGTTGGGTGAGTGGAAGGAATCACATTTGCAAACAGGCTTCGACGTTGTCATGTCTTGATTGAAAAAAATCACTTGGAATTCTATCAAGAGAAGGAAGCCAGCTATTTTCAGGTCAGGATTTTCATTATCCTTCAATATTCAAGTAACATGTTAGACTCTCTGGCATCTTTGCCGATTCAAGCTCACATTAGTTTTATCATTGCCAAATTTTGTGTGTGCATATTAGTCAATTTGGCATTTAATCATAGTCTGTTTTTCTTGCTTGTCATTTTATTGTTTCATGCCCATGTGCTCTCAGTTCCCAACTGGACCGTGAGTGGCCTAAGGATAAGATATCCCCTTGTAGTTCTCTGGTATCACACAGGTCTCTTAGCTTAGAGCCAAATAAATAGTTACTGAATTTAATTTCATGGATTTGGGGAAAAACAATTTTTGAGGCAGGATGATATGGATAGAGCTTTGATATTGGTATGGTCTCATTTGAAGATACATAACATCCTTTTGTATGGGATCTACCTAGGCTTAAAACACACCTACCATTTTTACTGTTGGTTTCAAGGGAATAAAACCAGATACCATTTTCACATCAACAATCACCATATTGGAGACTGGGCGGCTCCCTCTGTAACTGTAGTGTCAGAGAAAAAAAGGAGTTAGAATTTATTATGTGAAAGAAAGCCAGAGTTCCTCCTTCAAGACCCACCAAAAACCTGTCCATCTTCACGAAGTTTCCCCTAAGATTATGACCTACAGAACTCTGTGTTTCCTGGACATGTATGATATCAATATACATCAGATTTATAGCTTACTAAAATCATAGATATTCAAGGCTTAGTCCCACATGATCAAAACAGAATCTTTGGGAGTGGAGTTTGGTAATCTGCTTTTTTAACACATCTACAGGTTTTGGACATTCCACCTATATTACTCATTTGTTATTTAATATATCTTACTTTTATATTTTTAGTTAATTTAAATGTAGCATGTCTCCAAAGAGCGGCTCCAAAATGTAAGGACAGATAAATTCAAATGCTTTATACTTCAATTAAATTTATGTTTAATAATTGGGTTGGTTGTCTGAAATATCATTTATTTTATAATATTAATGTCATTAGTATTAGATACAAATCAATATAATTTGGGCTATGTTTTCTTAGGACTCCTGCAAAGTTTTTGATGGCTCATGATAGGGCAACCTCTATATTTTATATGTAATAAATACTTTGTATTTAATATTAGCATTTATTACTTATTCATTTGATTAGAAAAAATAAGGTAGAATATAATTATTCAGAAGAGGTAAGAAAGATTTACTTCAACTTAAGGTAAAAATATTTGAAAAAATAATTTATTATTTTGCAATGAGTTAAATAAAAATTAGTGTAAAAGATTACTAGGAATTAATTAGAACATTTAAAAAATTTACATTTTTTGTTAAACATATTTAAGACTAAACTTTGCTTTCAAATGCTTTTAAAGCATTATTAAAACTTTAAGACAAAACATTTACTAGAGAAAAAGATAATTTCATAATGATAGAAAATTAACTTCATTAGTATA